CGAGCGCCCGCTTCCCGGCTTCCCGGCTCCGGAAAGCTCCGGGCGGGGACGGCGACTGCTTGTGCTCCTAGCCGTGGGCTCAGTTTCTTTTCCCAGCTGGTTTTCTTACGGGAAAGGAGAGAAGTTCCACTTTCAGGCTGGCTGTGCCTCAGCTCCGGGAACGCAGTCTAGCACCTGTGCACCACCTGTTAATAGCTTTATGATAAAGCTATTAACCTGACAGCCTAACTCACTGGTGGTTATTCATCTTCCCTCTCTTTCCTCATTTTGTATCCGAGCTTTCCTTCATCTCGCCCTAGTCATTCAGATTTTCCCTCTTAGGTCATGGCTCCCTTGGGAGCAGTGCTTGATTAAGCAGTTTTTTGGCTGCGCCACTTTACTCCAGTCTGTTCATTCACAGCCCGCATCACCGTACATACAGATGCAGCGGTCCAGATGGCTCAACACTGAACTGTAACCAGAATCCGTGAGGGTTAGGAAATAATCCTGCAGGAAAAGGGTTGAAGTGCACAGTGTTTTCAACCTAAGCTAGTTTTCTGATCCAGTTTAGTGCGAAGCCCCGCTAATTTTTATACCAGACAACCAAAAGTGACAAGAATAGAGATGAAAGCAAAAGGCTGAGGGTAGGAAGGTCTTACATCAACTCCTACACTGAATGACCTACCCACAGAACTAAGTCCTAAGACTTCCCAATCTGGGGAGGATCCTGACCAGTAGCTGACACAGCTACTCTCTTATTTTTCTGGAAAGCAGAAATAGAATTTTTTTTTCCCTCCCTGATACAACATAATAACTTTAAACTGTGCCCACCATCCTAACGTAGAAGTTTATCAATACACAAAATCTTGTCATTTTTCAATATTCGATCACCTATCTATCCTTCAGCGCAGAAGAGAACGATCCAGCTAGCAGTTTTCTGCCCAAATTTAACATAAACTGTAGGCTACTGAAAAATATAGCAGTGATGATCGGAGCCAGAAATGAATTACCTACTAATTCCAGTTGCTGTCATTTACATGTACGTATGGTCACGTCCTCTGCTACTCAGAGTAACCTAGGAAGAAATTATATAACAGGAATTGTTAAATTCTGTAGTGAGATCATTTCAGATTCTGCAGGACTTCTTCCAGAAAGACCTTCCAGTGGAACAAGCATTTGCCTGTCCAGTAGATAATCAGATCTAAATAAACAGGAACTATAAAATTGCCAGTATGATTTCTGTCATGCAATTCTGCTTTCTTTCTTATCTCTGATCAAAGAGACCCAGTTCAAAGAATTTAAAGCTTCGACTTCAGAAGAGAATAAGACAACACTTCTTCAGTTCAACTGAAAAATCACTGTAAATGTAACTAAAGTCCAGTTTGAGATTGATTACTAGAATTGGTCAGAATTTCAAAACTTTTTCCATAGAATAATGGCCTTTTGAAAACAGTTTTGGCAAAAAATTGGTAAAAACTGTTCCAATTTTAAAAATTCCATCATCAGTTATTTACAGTTGTCTTTTTTTCCATAAAAACTCTATGCTATTAGCATACACCTGGTATCACTTCAAATGTTGGAGTACAGCAGTATATATAACCCTGTCGTACTGGAGAACTGGTCTACAGTACATTGTAAAATGGTGTAGGAACGTCTTATTGCATAGACGGATGGGTGGAGGATGGATGACTAGATACTAGTTCCACAGATGCCACCTATAAAATTCCGAGGAACAAAACCTAAGTTTAAATTAAAAATGTCAGAAATACATGTGTTGCAACTCTTTGAGCTTCCTAATCATGTTCATTTTGGTATTTCTCTGAAATGATTTCACAAGCAAAAGAAACAGCGTAGGCAGTACAAGCTTAGAACTTTCCTTTCCAAGGAAGATGTGTTGCAACACTTGCAGTAGCTCAACAAAAGGCTCAGACAGTAGGTCTCAAAATGTCAGCCTGGAAGAAACAAGAACAGTCCGATAAAACTTAACTGGCAAGGTTATATTAAAATTTTTAATTTTCTTTTTAGCAGAGAAGAAGAATGATAGCCTTGGATGACTTAATGGTCATGACTTCTGGATTTGTTACAAGTTTGAAGCAGGGAATTTTGGAGTCAGAATGGCAAAAATGGTATTTAATGTTCTGTATCTAATAGCATTTGAGATATCAGAAGGAATACAGTGACACTCACTACATGAAAGGAAGCTGTGCCATTGCAGTCTGTCTGTTCCAGGTCTCTGCCAGCTTGATACCTGGCATACAATCCATCAACGTGACCTTTAGCTGTAAGGTTGGAAATAAAATAATCATTTTAATGGTCAAATTTTCTAAACATTGTGAAACAAACAAGGTTAGAAAGACTGCCAAGTGAGGACAAGCAGGACAGAGTTAAAAAAACAAACCAACACAACTCCCCAGCCCCAAACCTCTAAGTCCTGAACAGACGGAAGAAGAATGCTGTTATAATGCAGTACTTAAGAGAACTGAACAAGGATATTTTAGCAGCTATAAACAAAACATGTTTCTTTACAGGTTTTCTCCCTGAAAAATAATTTTAAGTAGAGATTTTTCATGCAATTGGGTTCCTTTTGCTGATGAGTAATACACGGTAGGCTAATTTGTTACTTGTAGCTTACAGATTTTTTCTGGCCTACACCATTCCAAACTCCCAACAATTCTTTTGCAGCATCTTTAATGAACATATCTACTGCCCAAATCGTCTTTGTTATACTGCATTACAGCAAAAACACTCAACGTTCTCACGCATTACCACCCATTGTTAAAACATCTATTATTCAGGTTCATAATATCCTGAGAGTTATGTAAGTATTGAGCTCAGTTTGTAGATGAGGAAACTGAGGTAAACATAGCTGGATAAAAGTGCCAGAGTTAAGTGTCAGACTGTTGGCTCTCAGCCCTCTGAGTCAGGCCAGTAGTCCTTCAACTGACAATGACTTGAGTAACATGGCAGTAGATGAAAAGGAGAAACACTGCTCAGGGTTGATTTATTTTTGGACACTAAATGAAAACGAAATTCACTTTCTATCTGTATGTGTGAGACTGAGTTCTAGTGAGCTTTTTATTTTACTCGCTTGTAAAACAAAATTAGGCATATGCTAGAAAGGTCTCCCTGGACAAAGGTGAAAACTGTGGGATTAAGTAATTTGTCAAAAGTCTGCAAAACACTACCTATCCGAATTGATCTAAGTAAATCAAGTGTTAATATAGATACCTTTTGTGCAGTTCGGTTTTAGGGTATACCATATGGTAATACTGGCCCACATACTCCTTTCTTTTAAGCTCTTTTGAGACCTGTCTCTGTGTCTTTGAGGACATTGATCCTATGGGATTGGTATTGCCTGAAAACCTGTGACCACCACTACATGTTTCTTGGTACAGCATGGCAGAGCATGCAGTTGTGAAAGACAGCTTCTGTTTCTTAACAGTCTTATCAAAAGTGCTGCTTACTGCTCAAGGAAGAACAAGCAAAGATGCCCAGTTGCGCTTGTGAAGATACTATCTCTTTCTGTGTTATGGGGAGCTTTTATGAAGAAATTAGAGTGAAGAGAACGATGAAGCTTAGTACTTCAGCCTTATAAGGCAGCTGTTCTGAATACTCATTCGTTTTACCGTGATTATCATCCTTCTGCTGTCATTGGCCATACCTGCAAAAGGGGCTCAGCCAGGAGCTGAATATCATGGTCCTTGAACAGGCATTTTCTATGCCATAGGGATACTTTAGCCTTGCTGCTGCAGAGAACACCACAAACAGTTTTAGGAAACAATGACAAGACTGATAGTCATCTGCCTCAGTAAGAAACAGCAACAGGATTATTGCTGATAACTCTGGTGATGGTAAGGCTGTAGTAGAGTTGCTAGTGTTATCAAAAAAAGGCAGAGCAATGCTGGAACGTACATGGCTGCGGAAAATGGGTCATTTCAGGCCCTACAATACCAACAGTTCCTCCAGTCCTTAGTATTTACAAAGCTGAACTGGTGGGGAGGGAGCTACTTGCTACATTGCTGTAGTAAGTATCATAACAGAAAGGGTGTTGAATTACCAGCACTGGGAACAGAAAGTGCATCTCTGTTCTGAGCTCCAGTTTACACTTCATCTGTTTGTGACCGACAGCGTGCCAGGTGCTTTTCAGATTTTCCTACACCTGTCTGTAACATTCTTTCTAAGTTTTCAGACATAAAAGCCCTTCTTCAAGTCTGACATTGAAGCATTAAGCTTCAAAGTTAAAAACTGGTTGAGGGTAATTGCTTAGGGTTTAGTGTCTAGTCGATACCTCTGGATTACAGGGGAATCTCATGGTTAAGGGAGCTGTGGAGGGTTTGACAAAAGAGGTGATAATACTAATATCTTCTGAAAAAAGCCAGAGATGTGTAACTAAGATTGTGGAACATTAAGAGGTTAATTGTAGGAAGGGAAACAGATTTGTTTTATTGACGTAAAACAAAATCATCTCGAGTTGAGTCCTGTATTGGCGTCTAGCTAACACACTGGTTTTAGTTCTAAGGCTCATCTGTGGAAAACGCATGCTATTTCTTTCGTGGATCAAGTGTGAGAGAGCATAGATGAAGAAGCTGAAGCTGATTTCAGGGAAGTCTGGTAAGTCTTCAGGTCTATTATCGTAACGTTTCTTATTACTGGACCACTATAGAGGGAAATTAGCAAAGTATCTAAAAGCAAACACTGAGCAAGTAGGATGATAACCGCTAAGTACACTGTGCTGGGAACAGGCTGAGTTCAGAATAGTTGAATACTGTTCAGAATACTGAAACAGTATTCATGCTAAATCCAGTACCTGATTGGTTTCATTCTCATGCTGTCTCTTTAGTTGCTTTGACACAACTCTAGATGAAGTTACAGATCATGGCTTAAGCAGCTGCGTTTTGGTATCATGTTCTTCCTAAAGTCTGTACCTTTATTCTTCCCTCCCCTCATACCACTCCTGTGCCAACTCTGGTTGGGCACATAGTTCTAGATATTCCCTTCTACGTGGCATCTGTGAGGTGATAATCAATTCCTTTGATAAATCTTGTTAATGATTAGTCTTGTTAATGTAGCCCTGTATGCTGTTTGCTTTCATCGCTGCAAGGGCGCATTGCTGACTCATACTTGACGCATCCACTGGATGTCCAAGTCTTTATTTGCAGAGCTGCTACTTAATTTGTCGGTCCCCAGCCTGTACTGATATAGGGGGGTTAGTGTGCCCCAGGTGCATGACTGTGTATTTGCCTTTGCTGAATTTTATGAGGTTCCTGTCAGCCCATTCCTCCAGCCTGTTGAGGTCCCTCCTTACAGTTCAGGTTGTCCCTACAGATGAACCAGCTCTCCTGGGCTCATCTGCACTTCAGGAACAACCTCCAGAGGTATCTTGCCTACTAGATCTCTGAACAAGCCAAAGTCTGCTCTCTAGAAGTCAGTCACTAGGCTATTGCTTTTTCTTCCCGACTTCTGTAGTATGAAGACCTATTTGTGAAACATGTCCTGTTGGCCTTGCACCTAGCTATACCACAGAATGCTTGACTGAAAGCAGGAAGTTTAAAAAAAAAGAGTTTGCTGTAAAGATGAGCTCCACTTTCACAAAGTAATTCTGTGAAACTTCTCTGTGTCTTTATAAAAGAAAAACATTGTTAAAATAATGGTAGAAGTTTTGCAGAAAGCACAAGAAACCAGTACTACCAATCAACGCAGTCAGAGCTAGACCAATAACTTGCTGATTTTCTTGTTACTTTTTGCTTTCCTAGTTCCCAGCAAGCTAAGTGAATATACCATTCCATACTGAGAAAGGATAGAGTCACCTATTGCATTGGACATTTTTACATCGGCTTCATAAGCCATTTTTCATACCTCCTCTTCCCCAAGCTGTATAAACAGACTTCTGTAAACATTGGATATGATTTAAAAATCTCTATATTGCATTCTGTTGCTTTTTTTGATTCTTCCAATAGATCTTTCCAAGTGTATAGTGCGTTATCACATCTGTAAGTTCAGGTAAAATGCCCTTCATTGGGGACTGAAGAAAAGCCTTCCCCTATTTATGTAAAGATCAAAATCTTTG